AGTCTCCTGCCTCCGCCTCCCAAGTAGCTGGGACCACAGGCGCCCGCCACAACGCCTGGCTATTTTTTGGTTGCAGCGTCATTGTTGGTTTGGCGGGTCCGGGCTGGGGATTCAAACCCACCACCTTAGGTGTACGTGGCTGGCGCCTTAGCCGGTTGAGCTATAGGCGCCGAGCCTTCCTTGGTGATTTTAAATGAGCTCATAGGGTGAGGCCAAAACTGACAGGTGCTGTTAAGTCATCTTCCTTTCTCCAGCTCTGCAGTAAGACTTGGAGCAGAGTACTCTGGCTAAACTCAGAGAAGTGGGAGGGTTTGGTGCTTATATTGCCAGTCGACATGAAGCTCTTCCACAGTAATGACTATAACTTTCCACATTGGCAGCATTGTCTATTTCAAAATCTCAGGATCATTTATAAGCAATTGTCTGAACATCACAGTTCTCCGTTAACAGAAGACCATAAAAGGAGGTGGTGACATGCTCTGTTGCTACTTACAAAGTAACTCTGAAGAGAGACTGAGCATGGGACAACAGGCTTCTTCAAGCTTCTGCTGCTCAGTCTGCACAGACGTCATCTTGCTCCTCTTGATAACCACTGGCCATGTCAGTATGTGTGCACATTTGGAATATATGCAGAAAGATTTGATCTGCTTTATAACTTTACCCAGTTATGATTCCACTGGTCAAATTAATAGAAGTATTAGCAAAGGCAAAGTGGAGCCATGATTTTAAATTTGAGTCAGCTAGCTAGGTACGGTTGTTCACACTGGTAATCCTAGCACTTTGGGAGGCTGAGGCAGAAGGACTGCCTCAGCTCACAAGTTCAAGACCAGTCTGAGCAAGAGTGAGACCCCGTCTCTACTAAAAATAGAAAAATTAGCTCGGTGTTATGGTGGGAGCCCGTAGTCCCAGCTCCTTGGGAGGCTGAGGCAAGGGGATATCTTGAGCTCAAGAGTTTGAGGTTGCCGTGAGCTAGGCTGCCATAGCACTTTGCCCAGGGCACAGAGGCTGTCTAAATAACTAAAGAAATAAATTTAAGTCAGCTTAAGGAAAGCAGAA